GGTTGATCTTTAGGGGAGAGGCAATGGGACGGTTTTGGATCCCATGCAAGTACCACATTGGCATTTCACAGTGGAATATTATTATACCATGAAGCTTAATACCTACAAAACATTACAAAATTTTCCCTACTTTTCGGAGGGAAGGGCACTCCCTCAATTGATCATTATTTTAAATATGAACACAATTTAGCAAAAGTTTCAATTGAAGAACTTGGAAAAAGTAAAATTGTGTGTATTCTTTATCATGTTTCACATAAATAGTTTCATATTTACATGAGGTAATAATAAATAATTTCATGTTAATAATAATAATCCTTGCATTTGATATAGCGCCTTATCAAGTCGTCGAGAGGGGGTTGAGCGACAGAAGGCAAGAGTGAGTGAGGGAGAGAAAGAGAGGGAGCGAGGGAGGTAATGTAAATGGGAATGTAAAGCTTAACATGGGAGTGTATGTTATTTGGTTGTCTGTGCGGGAGAGAGTTTCAATTATAATAAGACACTTTAGTTACTACTCTATCACCTTTAAAAACTTTTACCAATCCAACCCAGAAAGTAAGCGTTTCGCCCACAAAATATAGAATCAATTCACTTTACATTATATTCTGTGAAGCGCTTTGAGACATCTCAAAAATGTGAGACATCTCAAAGACCTGATTAAGGCACTATATCATATGCATGGATTATTATAAGATTAAAACTGCATTTCCACATTTTACTTTCCGATGATTTCTTTGGATTGTTGGAATTTGAACTAAACTAGATTTACTTTACCTCGTTGTCTGTTTGCAATATGCCTGAAAAACTGAACGCAACTATACTGAACGTGATCGCTGGGTTCTATCTAAAGGCTGTATTATCCATTTCATATCTGGGTATAACGTGTGTCTTGTAGCAGCTATTCAAAACTAAAGATAAAATCTAGAACTGAACAGATGTAGGGCCAAGTCACCTTTTGTAACATGTGCACAAAAACAAAGCATAATAACTAGTTTTTCTGGATACTGATAGATGCTGAAGCATAATATGCAGGTCTAATAGCAAAAAATCTTAGCAGACAAAGTACAAACAAAATGTGCTCAGCTGTAATAGATAGTTTTACTTTACAAAATCAACATTCATAACCCTTGTTGCGTGTTCCTTTTTTAATGTATTTTGAGGAAAATATACAGTCATATTTAGTTGATTTTCATGTTAATCAGAGTCCTCACTGCTGAAGTATGAGCTATCGCAGCACTCAACCGTGTGAAGAAATTTGTGGTTTGAAGGGTCAGCTTTGGAATCCAATGCCTTGGCACCAAGAATGTTGCAAGGTTGAACAGATCGCCAAATACCTTGTATCGATCACTATATTGTTCATTTAAAAATAAGTCAAATTAATAAATATTCATACTGTGTTATTATTACAAATATTATTATAATAAAATATTCATACTTGGTTAACCTCCTACCCCTACCCTCCATCGCTCCTGATCCCATCCCCTGGCTCAGGTCAAAAGCCTTGACTGTCCAGCGCCTTGGAACGTCCTCCCAACATGAAAAGAGTGATACAAATGGAATTTGGTGTTGTCATTTATTAAAATTAAACTTAAAGGATGCTGAACTCATTTATGAAGCAGTTTGATAACTAATAGGAGAACGGTAGTGCGGGTATTCCGAAGGACGAGATCTAGTTGTCCAAAGGACAATTTATAAATTGCCAAACTTTTCTTGTGATTTTGTAAAATGAAAGGCCAGGTTTTTTTTTCGAAGTTACTCCCACCTCCAAATTGAATGGGTACCAAGAGACAGAGGAAGACAGGTATCAACAGCAACAATGCTTTGAATTTGTATCTGCCTTTCACGTCAGGAGGACATACCAAGGCGCTGGTATGGTAAGGATAACATCTCGAAAGATAAAAGGTTAGACTGGATAGGTTTCATTGGTAAAACTCTCACATGCTATAATAAACTTCTCAGAAGCTTTGATCATCACAAAGACAACAACAACACGTCCTTTTGAATCTGAAATAGGAATTGTCCTTTAATCCTACCTCATGGTAGAACGCAAATACTGATAGCCAGAGGATCCACCAGTGCCAAGCTTACTTCCAATCATCCTCTGCACCATGCACACATGGTTGTCTGGAAGAAAAGGGAAAGAAATCTTTTCTTTTAAATGGTTACAGAAGTCTTATTTAAGTGTTTCAAGGTATCTGATCTCCCTGTCTTCTAAACTCTTCAAAATCCCTACCTCTATGGCCATGCCTTTGATCATGTGTTTTACATCATTTCTGTAAAGCACTTTGTGATTTTTGCTTACATGACAGATGTTATAAAAGTATAAGTTGTTGTTGTTGATTCAAGGTTAAACTTACATCTCCATTTAGTTATGAGGTATCGATATCCATGAGAGAATTCAGTAACTGGAATGGTATCTGGAAGCGTGGTTCTTCTCTGGCAATTAAAAACGCAAAGCAAATTAAACAATAAAATACTATTCCCGGCCAAGTTAATAGACATGTTCCCAGAACTCTGCCAATGCCTGGCTGAGCTGGTAGCACTCTTGATTCAGGGTCAGAAGATGTGGGTTCAAGCCCCATAACAGGACTTTGAGCTCATATTCTAGGCTGACATTCCAATGCAGTGATAGTAGGAGAGATGGATTGTCAGAGGTTCATTTGGACAGCATCTGATCTGCCTGTTCAGGTGGATGTTAAAGATCACAAGGTACTATTCATAAAGAGAAATGAATTTCTCCCTGTGTCATTATAAAAAATATGATTTACCTCATAGATGTTTGCAGACATTGTTATATTGTTGGTTGCCACATTTACCTACAAATGCACAGGATCTGCACAGAAACCTCTGTGAATCACATTGAGACTTTTTGACATGCTAAAGTTCTATTTCAAAACGGTTCATATAAAAAGCAGTTGGTGATCAATGCAAGGAGCTATGCAGGAGCATTGAGATAAACAGATAACAGCCTGACTGAGATTGGCAACTCAATGTGGTGATAAATTTCAGATTTAAAATGATGTCTGAAACATAAGAAGATTATTTGTTGAACATAATCCCATACTCCTAATACTTCCTTTGTCCTAGCAGAAGAACTAACTAATAGTAAATTCACCAGATAAAATTGGTCATTCAGTTCATGGCTGTTTGTGGGACATTGTTGTGTCCAAATTGGCTGCCACGTTCACCTACAAATACACAGTCACTACACTTAACAGTAGTGCTCCTGTGAAGAGTTTCAAGATTTTTTCTACAAAGTAATAAGGCCCTATATCAAGTGCAAGAATTATTATTGAAATTGCAAGAATTACTTCCTGGAAATTGACCCCTATGATATCCGAGAAACAGGAAACAGCACCATTTAGATAAAACGTTCATCCCATCAGTCTGGGTAGGAATGAAATCCAGACCCGAAGGTGAAAGATCACAATGTTCTCAAATAAGTCTCCTCAATGTATTCTCTTGACTCTACTGACCTGTAAAAGTAGATCATAAGAGCTCCCTTCAGTGCCTTATAAGACAGTCTTCGATCACCTGAAGATAAAAAGCACAGCACAAGCAGCCACTGCCAATGAATGAACATGATTGTCAGGGGAATGATGAGGAAAACAGTGCAATTAATCTTGTGTTCATCCTAGCTATTTATTTTTTAACATTTTCTTCCTGAAATAATAACTGCTGGAACTCACTGAATACAGGGCAGGCTTGGGCTGAAATTTCACCTCAGTCTCGATTTATTCTGTTAATATAAAAGTGTATATAATCTGTAAAGTGTTTTGAGACATCCTCCTGATGTGAAAGGCACTATATCTAATGTGAGAATTATTATTACTTTTTTAATTTCAGTGTACAGAATTTGGTAAATTGTTGAATTTATTTTAACTTTGAAGCCTGTTTCAATAATAATCACTGCATTTGGTATAAGATCTTTCATATCAGGAGGACATTTTTTGTAGTTGCAGCTTAAAAATGCACGATTTGGCCATCTCAGACAGCAAGACTACAGGACAGCAGATGTAAGAAAAGGAAGTATCACGTTGGTGAAGTAGCATTGGGAGTTCCTCTGAGATTGGGGCTGAGCTATATTGTTGAGGACCAGATCAGGAGTAGATTACATGGTTTAGTAAGGGTGGCATATTGCTGATTCTCATTCAGTAAAAGACCACCACTTTTTCAATTCTAATAAAAGTGCAGGATTTGGTGCAGCCCTGATGGTGTAGTGCGGAGTGATCCAACCTATTGGCTGCTGAGGGCCAGGTGACCTATTTGAGAAAAGTCTGCGAGCTGCATAAGCAATATTTTTGTGTTTCCTTTCCAGAAACATAACATGTATTGGTTTATGGAGGGAGTGGGTGGTCCAGATGAAATGGAGGTGGGGGTGGGGTGGTTGGATGCGGCTGCCAGTTGGACCTAACTGGTGTATTGGAGAGAGTTGCAATTGATGGACCAGGAACTCACTAGTTCAAATCCCGGTCCATGCTAAGTTTGTTGATTTGGGGTTTGCATGGAGAAGCTGAATTTGAGCAGGCTTCCCAGGGATAGGGAGGCTAAAATCAGACAAGGTTACTGCTCCTCATCCCTCTTCAGCACACTCTACTCTTAGTTGTACATGTGTGGCAGCCGGATGACAAGAACTCAGACTTGACTGATGCTTTCTACAGTCAAATGTTCTGCCATCTCTCGGGGCTGAGGCTCACACATGAATAGCCGCTTGAGCCAGATACCAGAGGACAACACGTGCCTATGGAATTGCACTCCAGGAAGAGGAGGCTAAACCAGGAGTAGAGAGGAATTTGCTAATGGAAGAAAGTGACAAAGGATGGTGGGACAGGATACTTTTTTTTAGGATTGGATTTTAACTGATTAAACAAAATAAAAACTGGCCATTGCTACCATTTGCACACAGAAGATACATATTGGCCAACCACTGTGGGTTAATAATTTACTGCCCTTTACGTTAGAGACATGACAGAGATAGTGTCATAATAAGTGAAACTAAATTAATTTGTGTCTTGGTCAGTTTAATAAAGGGATTCACAAACCTTTTAAAACCTCAAAGTTAGTTTCTAGCTACAGTTCTTAACACTTTAGAGCGATTAGGATATGTCATCAAGAATTTGTTTTCCAAATTGAGATTCTTGTTTGCAAATATTTCCTCAAGTCACAAAGTACATTGACATTGATGATGCACAGTATTAGATAGTGATCTTCCAGACTACTATTTGTTCACATGATGAATATTACCAGTCACAGTAATGTAAGGAACTTTGGGTCAAAGTATGACTTTGAATTGTTAATTACAATAGCAGCAGTTGAAATCCATCAAATTCCATATTATAGATTGTCTCAAAGAGTGCTAAATGTGCACATTTCAATCGAACTTAAGTGAAAATTACGATTTGCATTTTCACAATACTCAGGCTCATTCCAAGTTAAGAGTTATTGATTGGGTAAATATTTACAATGTTCTATTCCACTGCCAATGTTAGCTGAAAACAATATGGCTCTTTTACAAATATTTTGTAACTTAGTATTGCATGTAAATCTGCATATTATTGCAGATTTCAATCTTCCCTTCCCCATTCCCTCTATGGAATAACAAAGCCATTCCAATTATGTTACACTTGATCTCTATTACAGCAATATTAGTTATAAACCTTCAGCAAGGGTGAGCCCTTTGCTCAAACCTCACAAGAATGGAAATTCAAGCAGTTGTCCCCTAAACAATATTGAGCCAGGTCTTGCCCCCCCAAAAAACTACAGTAGAAATGAAGTAAGCTAATGTAAAGTCGCGGAGCTGGAGGAAAGCAGAGCAGGTCATGGCACAGATGTCAGGTAGAAAGGACAGTTGAGGTGTCAAACAAGATGCCAAGGTTCCAGACTGGCTCAGTGAGGTGGAGTGTGCATCCCTGGATCGTGATGCTGTCTACCTCTAGCCCCCACAGCCTCCTGCACTAATGTCCCACTAATCCACTGCCTCTCATCTTAGCGTGCGCATCTTGGCTGCCGCCCCTGACCCGAGCTGGCTCTCCCTCAAAATGCCCCCCTCCCTCAACTCTCCCGCTCTGTCCTGCTCTCTCTCCGCCCTCCTCACCTCCTATCTCTGCTTGACCCCCCACTGCCTCCCTCTACACCAGCCTGGGAATCCTCATCCGGGCTCATCGTGGCACTCAGTGTTGGCTGTCCAGCAGCAGCTACATCGGCTGCCCCACTCCCCACTACCGCTGCAAACCACCCCGGACCCAGACCCCAGGGGCTAACCTCTTCTCCCTCATCCGCATCACCACCCTCCCTGCCAACCAATCCACTACACCTTCCCATCTTATACACCCCCTGCTTACTGTCCACTCCGCATTGGCCTTCAAAACGTCCGCTCCATCTGCAATAAGATCCTGACTATATTTAAGACATTTAAGATTCTGCCAGTTTTTTTAAATGATTTTTCATAAAGTTGAACTTTACTCAGCAAAATCTTATAAAATGAGAATCATGATTAACCTTCACTTTTCTCTTAAAAGTAAAAAATTAAACTGCACACAATTGGGTATCAATGTCTGCAAGATTCATTACCATACAAAACAGAAAAATTGTTAATATTGCCAAATACCAATGTTTATGTTTATAATGTTTATGGCGCTCGTGGAAACCTGGACCACCCCAGGTGACACCTTCCCCCTCACTGAGGCCACACCAACCCGTTACACCTACCACCATGCCCCACACCCCAACTGTTGTGTTGGTGGTGTGGCCCACCTCTCCAAGGCTTCACTTGCCCTATCCCTCTACTCCACCAGCTCATTACGCTGTTTTGAACACCTTACACTCTACCATCCCTCCCACCTCTCACTAAAATTCTCCTAATTTACCGCGCCCAAAATCCTCCCCCACCTTCATCTCTGACATCTCCACCTTCCTTGCTTCCCTCTGCCTCTGCTCCTAGGTGATTTCAACTTCCACTTCATCCCCCCTTGCTCCACCTCCTCAGACTTCTCCTCTCTCCTCACTTCTCTCAAACTCTCCTTCCACATCCACTCTGCTACCCACACCCACGGTCACCCGCTCAACTTGGTGATTACTCGGGGCCTCAGTGTCTCGGAAGTCACTATCACTGACAAGGCCATCTCTGAGCACCATTTCATCTCCCTCAACTCCTATATCCCTCTCCCCACTGCCTCGAAACCTATCATCATCTTCTACTGTGGAAGAAGATCTCCCCCGCAATCCCTCTCCGTTGCCCTCGAGTTCTCTGAACTCCTCCCCCTCTGGCCCACCTCTCGCACTAACCCACTCGCTGCGCTTACTCTTCTCCACAGCACCCTCTCCACCACACTCACCGCCCTTGCCCCCCTCACCTCCCAAACTGCCTCCTATTCCCAATCCTCATCTTGGTTCACAAGGGCCTGGTGCGGTCAGCCGAACGTACTTGGCTCAAATCTGGCCTAACGGTCCACCGGCACATCTGGCTGGACCTCATCAAAACCTATTGCTCCGCTCTCGCCTCAGCCAAATCATCCTTCTATTCCAGGTTAATCCTGGAGTCGAAGGGCAACCTCAGGCTCCTGTTCTCCACCACCAATCGGATCCTCTGCCCTCCCTGCCATGCCTCGCAGATTTTTTCCGCCGACTCCCACTTCGAGGAAATGCTGGACTTCCTCGAGTCCAAAATCGAGGAAATCCGCTCAGCTGCCATTGCTCTTCCAACTTCCACCCCCTCCCTACCCCCCTCACATCGACCACTACCCATCACTCCTTCCACACTTTTGAACCTGTCACCCCCTCCTCTATCATCACCACCATATCCTCCATGAAGCCCATCACCGGTTCCCTCGACCCCATCCCCACCCTTCTCCTTAAATAATAATAATAATAATAATCCTTGCATTTGATATAGCGCTTTTCACGTCGGGAGGACGTCCCAAAGCGCTTCACAAAACACACTGTAAAGTGAATTGACTGAATATTTGTGGGCGAACGCGGCAGCCAATTGCGCACAGCAATGTCCCACAAACAGTCGTAGATTTAAAATGACCAATTTATTATTTTTTGGGGGGTTTTGGAGGGATTATTATTAGGCGTGTGGAGTAAGGAAACTTGCCCAAGGTTTCGCACTGCCGGGAATTGAACTCAGGTCTCTCGCTTGCAAAGCGAGTGCTCTAACCACTGAGCTACAGGACTCCACTGTAGCTCCACCTCCTTGCCCCACTACTCGCTGACATCATCAACCTCTCCTGTCATCTGGCACTGTTCCTTCCCCCTTCAAAACAGTTACTATCACCCCACCTTGAAGAAACCTTCCCTTGACCCATCACAGCTATCCAGCTACCGGCTCATCTCCCACCTCCCTTTTCTGGTTGAGGTCCTTGAGAGAGCCGTTCCCTCCCAGCTTCGCTCTTTCCTCTCCTCCCACTCCCTCCATGAGCCCCTCCAATTGGGTTTCCATGCTGCCCATAGTACGGAAACTGCTCTGGTCAAGGTCACAAATGACATCCTGACCATGTGTGACCAGGGTTCCCTCTGCCTCCTCGTCCTCTTTGACACCGTGGACCACTCAATCCTCATCCATCGCCTCTCCTCCCACCTCAACCTTCAAGGTTCTGTCCTTGACTGGTTCAGGTCCTATCTTTCACACCGCCTCCATTTCGTCTCTGCAAACGGCTTCTCTTCCAGCCCCCGCAGCGTCTCGTGCGGTGTTCCTCAGGGCTCTGTCCTCAGTCCCCTCCTCTTCACCCTCTACATGCTCCCCTATGGTGACATCATCCGCAGACATGGGATAAATTTCCACATGTATGCGGATGACACCCAACTCTATCTCTCTGCCTTTACCCTGAACTCCAGGACTACTGGTGCCCTGACTGACTGCCTATCCGACATCACTGGATGAGGAACAACTTTCTCCAACTGAACGTCAGTAAGATTAAGGCTCTTCTGATTGGCTCGTGCCAGCACTTCCGCACCTCGGACGCTGGCAGCATCAGCCTCCATGGCTGCACACTCAACCTCACTAAGCCAGTCAGGAACCTGGGTGTCTTGTTTGACCCTGAAATGTCCTTTCTCCCCCACATCCGCACCATGACCGGCACTGTCTACCACCACCTCCACAACATTGCCAGACTCCGCCACTGCCTCAACCCTCAGGTTGCTGAAACCCACCTACGGATTCGTCACATCAAGTCTCGATTATGGAAACTCCTTCCTCAACGGCCTTCCCAGCTCTTCCCTTCACAAGATGCAGATCATCCAAAACTCTGCAGCTCATGTACTCTCACGCACCAGGTTCCATGACCCCATCAATCCCACCCTCTCCCGACTCCACTGGCTCCCCATCCCTCAGAGGATCAAATTCAAGATCCTCGTCCTCACTTTCAAGGCATCCATGGCCTTGCCCCTTCCTACCTCTCTAACCTGCTGACTCTCTACCAACCTGCACACTCCCTCTGTTCTGCAGGCTCTGGCCTGCTCCATGTCTCCTGCCCAACCATCGGTGGCCGGGCTTTTAGCCTCTCTGCCCCCATGATCTGGAACTCCATCCCATAGTCCCTTCTCCTTGCTTCCTCCCTTGTTTCCTTCAAGGCTGTTATCAAAACCCTCCTCTTCGATTATGCCTTCAGATGCCCTCCCACCTCTCTGCCTTCCTTCAACCCTCCCCCACCCCTCCCCCATGCTCGGATCTTGACCTCTGACTGTCCAGTGCAGTCAACAAAATGTAATTTTGTTGTTGTTGTGTTGCTGTGAGCGCCTGAGTTGTGGAGGTGCTAATGGGAGCAAATCAGGAGGGCCTTCGTCTTGTTGATGTTCAACTGTAGAAAGTTAGCTATCATCTAGGATGATGTCTGTCAGACATTGTGTCAGGACTGCGGTGGTCCTAGAGTCTGGAGTGAACAGAGTCCATTGCACATGGTCAGCAAACCTTCATGTAATATGAAGTAAAAAAGTCAAGTCATTCTTGAAGCAAGAATGCACTGGCAAAGTTCCACCACTCTGGTCTTAAACTATTCATTTCACTACACTGCTCTTATTAACAAGTTCCAAAATAAGCACAGTTGACTCATTTTTATAAAATGGAGACTTGTGTACCTTTACTCAGTAGATGTTCATGGCGTTTCTCATCAAACAGAGCTGTAAGCACTTCTTTTTTTCTGTTGAGTTCCTCCAACTGCTCTTCCTTCTCCTCAGAATCAGGCTTTGACTATGGAAAACCAAAGAGATTGCATTGCTAATTTCTTTGCTGGTTGAACTCTGAATATCTTTTACAACTTTCAAAATAGTTTCTCTTCAAATACCTGCAAATCCAATTTCAAAGCAAATTTTCTATCACAATGACTCCCCAAAACAGTGTTTTTTTACTTTTCTTCCCATTAGTATGGATTCCTATTTCTGGCCTGACTTCTTGTTGTTGGAGTTTGATTTCACGGGGTGTTAGTTTCCCTTCAGTACAATGCTAAGTGGCCATTATCCATGTATGAGCCTTGACAGTGAGTGTCAGCAGGCCATTCACCAGCTGACTGAGACCAGCAAACTTAACCATTGACTAGGATTCAAATCAGCGAGTCCCAATTCATAAGCTACAGCTCGATTTACTATACCACCCTCGCACTTCACCAAAATAAGTTACAATAAAAATACAACACAAAATTACATTTGTATAGTGCCCTTCACATAGGGAGGATGTCCCAAGGCACTGGAAATTCTTTCAAATAAATACATTTTATTTACTCAGTTATGTTATCTTGTTTGCACTAAATGCTGTTTCACACAGCCCAATGATTCAATTAATCAAATGTCTACTCAGTGTAAAATTGAGCCTTGGCTGGGGCAAGGCAGCAGAATAGAAAGCCATAGGTTTAAATATGCAAAGTGCCATTTCATGACAGACACAGGTACTATTTCTTTATCCAGAGATTAATTAGCAACTGGAACAGGTTATTAGGAAGGGTGGTTGATAAGAGCTCATTTCTGTAATGAGAGAATAGAGTGGGTAAGATCATAGGGCCTTCTTAATCCAAACCAATCTTGTGATTGTATGACTAGGGAGCAGAATGCATTTAGGAATACCATATTTTTCTATGTTAAAGGTGAATACGTTAACATGTGACAATGCTGCTCTATGATATGTCTTCAGATGGTGATGTGTACCTGAACTTCAGCATAATTTCCCCTCAGGCCAATGTCAATGTTGGTATTCAGTTTACCCCAGAAATCAAATCCATCAGGCTCAAGTCCAGGCGTTCGTTCCAGCCATTGCTTTAAAATATTACAACAAAAACAAGATTACATTTGTATAGCGCCTTTCACGTCGGGAGGACATCCCAAGGCATTAAGAATTAAAATATGATTGAAAACTAAGTGAAGCAACATTTAAAAAAAATCCCCAAACTAGGTAGGAAAGCAAGAAGTTACATTGAAACTTGAACATTGCTGGGGTGAAATGGTGATCTGTGATGTGTTAACCAAAACATTGTTGGCAATACGACTCGACTTTGCTGTTCAAGGATCACATAGTGTTAGGTCCAATGTTGTCCCAAAGTGCACATTGGACTTGCTAGCCCATGGATTTGGACTGTTGGGTAATGTGATATGAGTGTCAGTCAATAGTATGTAAATGATTACAGTCCAGAACCATAATAATTCTGCAGACTGATAGATTAATCTGATGCATGACGTGTGCTTCAGTCCAATCCATGTGACAGACTTGGAGAGCCGGTGACATTGGGCTTAACACAACATATATTGATAACATAGCTTACGAATAGGGAAACTTTATTTCTTTTAAAAAGAGAATCCCATGTCCTTCACTGCAAAATGATAATTTAGCTCCATGACAACTTTGTAAAGAATCCACAGCTTCAAGCCCAGACTCTGCTGCTCACTAAACTGACATTATCTTATTCGTTGTCTTGTACTCAAAATCTGTAACAGAAAGGCTTTTTATCACAGTTACTAAGCTGAATACTATTTAAGGGGTCATGTCAGGTACCTCGACAAGCTGTACTAGTGTTGGTTCTTGCTCAGATAAAAGGAGCAGTTCATTCTCCTTCCCTTTGAAGTTGTCCCTGTAGTGCTTTCTACTGTAAGGAACTCGCAAGCTCTCAAGAACTCCAATCTTATTCTCCATCAAGCGAAACTGCATACTCTGAAATCCGGATGCAGGGACTAAATAATTCCTTTACAATTGAGGTAATAGGAAACAATTAGTTTTGAAAGCAGCCAACTTCAGTCATCTAGTTCTGTTACACATATATTTCTGAGCAAATTATATTTCAGAATTAAGATGCATCGTTCATACTTCCAGGACAGTATATGTTTAAAGTACAGAAGGAGGCCATTTACTCCACTGTGCCTTTGCGAGTCCCCTCCCCATTAGAGCTATTCTAATAGGGATATTAGGGGAATATTCATATTCCCTTTCATTTCCCCCTTCCCTTTATTATTTTCCACAATATTTATCCACTACCATTTTGGTGAGGCCTCTGTGTATAGTGGCTTCGAACCCTCTCCCTTTTTTGACCCAGTAAAAAGAACCCATCATCCAAACCATCATCCAAATTAAAACTGAATTTACACATTTTCTCCAATGTAATGCAATCTTAAATGTTAAGACAAAATGGTCTTATCAGTAAGGTTGCCAGTTTTGGATTTGTTGGCTAATTTTGATGGATAGTATTTTTTTTATTTCTTAGTGATCTTTCCGACTACAAAATACTTATATTAAGAAGTTGCAAGATTGCCAGGATATCAATTCCTGTGTGAAGCATGTGAGTGCAAGGCACAGAATAGTATCTCCAATGTCAGCACGCAGGAAGTGACAGCTGAAAACCTTATGACCAGGAAGTCAGCTTTCTTTGTAGTTTAAGCAATTAAAAAAATGCTAAAGAAATCCAATGGGAATTACATTTCCTTGAATTGGAGAAAATTATTTTTACCGATTAAAAATTGGAAACCAGCAAGCCTACTTATAGGACTTGTAGACTACCTGTAGACTAAATAGAACTCGGGGCTTTTTGTATGTCAGCTTCCTCTCCTGAAGTTTTCCTCACCTGAAATCAAAGAAATCCAATGCCGTCATTGTTTCCATAACCGCAAACTGGTCCACCAAGAGTTTAAGGATTACAGCAATGCGATGGATTCTCGAAACCACTTTCAACATATTTCTTTCATCTCTCACCTGCAACACAATGTTTCACAGTTTGGGAGTTGACCAGATTGCCTACATATACTCACTCACTATACTTTACATTAAAAGTCCTGTAGCTCAGTGATTAGAGCACTCTCCAGCAGCCGAGGGGACCTGGGTTCGATTCCCAGACAGGGCGTTTCCTTACTCCACATGCCTCTGTTTATATAGCAGTAAGTAGGAGGAACCCTGTTGTTAGTCGATTGGCGGATAGCTTTTCCATGTGTAATAATCCCTTAAAAATATAACAGTAATAATTAGGTCATGCAATCCACGAATGCTTATGGGATACAGCTGTGTGCAATTAGTTGCCTCCTTTCACCCACAAAATGTAGTCAATTCACTTTGGAGTACATTCTGTGAAGCGCTTTGAGATGTCTCGAAGATGTGATAAAGCAATATAACAAATGCAAGGATAATTATTGTTATTATAAATGCATGGCTAAAAATAGCAATCCTTTTCTCTATGTCTTTATGAAGGCATTTCCCATTATATATATTTAGTGTAAATAATCACTGTTTTTAATGATTACTAGACCCCATTATAGGTTCTACAGAAAAATTATTGAAGTAGGTAGTTAACAACTGGAACAGGTTACCAAGAAGGGTAGTTGAGGCTGGGACACTGTCGGCGTTTAAAAAACAGCTTGATGCTGTGATGGGGGAGTTGATAGGGTGGATATTCTGGAAAATTGAGAACAGATGGGTCAAAGGACCTTCTTCATCCAAATCGGTTTTGTGATCTTGTAATCTATTTTGGAATACAACAACAACAACAACAACAAGATTCCATTTATAGAGCGCCTTTCACGTCAGGAGGACGTCCCAAGGCGCTGCACAGTTGGGTCATGACCCGAGCAGGGGGGAAATGGTCAGGGTGAGGGGAGGGAAGGGAGGGAGAGAGGAGGGGGGAAATGGTCAGGGTGAGGGGAGGGAAGGGAGGGAGCGAGGAGGAGGAAGAGAGTCGAGAGGGGAGCTGAAGGCACGGTCAAAGAGAAAGGTTTTGAGACCGGCCTTGAAGGAGGAAAGGGAGGAAGCAAGGCGAAGGCACTGGGGGATGGAGTTCCAGAGCCTCGGGGCTGAGAGGCTGAAGGCCCGACCACCGATAGTAGGGCGGTTGGGGCAGGGGACGTGGAGCAGACCGGAGCCAGAGGAACGGAGGGTACGGGCAGGTAGGTAGGGGGATAGTAGGTTGGAGAGGTAGGAGGGAGCAAGGCCGTGAATGGCCTTGTAGGTGAGGATGAGGATCTTGAAATCAATCCTCTGGGGGATGGGGAGCCAGTGGAGGCGAGCGAGGGTGGGAGTGATGTGGTCCCGAAGCCTGGTGCGGGACAGTACACGAGCTGCAGAGTTCTGAATATACTTGGCTGGACACAGTGCTTTATCTGCCTGGGTGGCATATACTATGTATGATATCTCATTGGACCAATTGTTACTTCTCACACCTTTTTTTGCTAGAAAATATTTTTTTTCTCAATGAAATCGTAGGTATAAAGCTTTGGGCTAAAATGACAAAAAAATTGTGTATATCAGAACAGCGCAAATGGTTCCGGATTTGCATTTGCCTTGGCTGCCTATCCCAGAGAAAATCGATTTCAAGATCCTCACCCTTGTATTCAAGTCCCTGCACTCCTCTGCACCCCCGTACCTCTCTGACCTCCTCTCTCCTCAAAACAGTACCCATTGCCTTTATTCCTCCGGATCTGGCCTCCTCCTCGTCGTCCGAGTCCTCCGCTCCACCCTCAGTGGCTGTGCCTTCAGCCACTATGCCCCGAGGCTCTGGAACCGCCTTCCTCACTTCCTTTGTCTCGCTCCCTCCCTTCCCATTTTCAGGTCTCTGCTGAAGATCTTTCTTTTCGACCGCGCCTTTGGTCACCTCCCTCCCCCTCCCCCTGGCTCGGTCCCGGGATCCGTTACTATAAAGCACTCTGAGACTCCGTCCGGCGTGGAGGGTGGTATATAAATCCAAGTTGTTGTTGGTGGTGGTATTTTATTCTTGTCTTCATTATGCAGTAATTAACTGCTGTAACACACGTTATGTAAAAGCGCACTATTTATTAATAAATTAGAAATTAATAAATGAGGAGAAATTTCACCTTGGTCTGAATTAATTCTTATTCATTTTAATAATATTCTTTACATGTGTTACAGCACCTTTCACAGCGGGAGAACATCTCAAAGTGCTTCACAAGCTTTAATGTCAAGTGCAGGGAATGTGCACTTTGCAGGCAAATGTGGCAGCAATTTGTACAAAGCAATGTCCACAAATAGCATGAAGTAAATGACCAATTTTGACTCTATTTTCTTAACATTTCAGACAGTCTAGAATTTGGCAAATTGTATAATTCAGTCCTCTTTATACTAAAATCAAACATAACACTGATCCAATTTAAACAGGCTGAAGGGAAAAATTCCATGCTGGTGGTGAGGGGCAAAGGCATAAAATGATTATAGTGTGCTAATTATTACTGGAGATAATTATCAGAATGGATGCCACAATTTACCCTAATGTATAGGTGCTGGGGGTTCACCCACTTGAAGTACAAGGGTGCTGTGCACCTGCTGGTGGTGCAATTGGCTACTCACAGCACCCAGGGCAAGTGCAAACACAAACAGTGAGGGGGCCGGGCTGGCACACAGTGAGGGGGCCGGACTGGCACGGACACAGTGAAGGGGCCGGTCTTGCACACAGTGAGGGGGCCGGGCTTGCACACAGTGAGGGGGCCGGGCTGGCATGAACACAGTGAGAGGGCCGGGCTGGCATGGACACAGTGAGGGGGCCGGGCTGGCATGGACACAGTGAGGGGGCTGGGCTGGCATGAACACAGTGAGAGGGCCGGGCTGGCATGGACACAGTGAGGGGGCCGGGCTGGCACGGACACAGTGAGGGGGCCGGGCTGGCATGGACATAGTGAGGGGGCCGGGCTGGCATGGACACAGTGAGGGGGCTGGGCTGGCATGAACACAGTGAGAGGGCCGGGCTGGCATGGACACAGTGAGGGGGCCGGGCTGGCACGGACACAGTGAGGGGGCCGGGCTGGCATGGACATAGTGAGAGGGCCGGACTTGCACACAGTGAGGGGGCTGGGCTGCCATGGATACAGTGAGAGGGCCAGGCTGGCATGGACACAGTGAGGGGGCCGGGCTGGCACGGACACAGTGAGGGGGCCGGGCTGGCATGGACATAGTGAGAGGACCGGGCTGGCATGGACACAGTGAGGGGACCAAGCTTGCACACAGTGAGGGGCTGGGTTGGCACACAGGGGCAATGAGGGTCGGAAGAGCAGGGCTCGGGATTCTGGCATGAGAAGAGGAGAACAGAAGAGCGTGACCCGAGGTACTGGCACAGAGGGACACAGCCCCTCCCCCAGCATCCTCTTGTCTCCCCCAAACAACACCCCCTAGCCAGCGTCACAGATACCCACTCAGCCATCACCCATCCAACAGCCCCTGTCATACCTCCCAGCCATGCCCCACACTGTCATACCTCCCACTCCCCGCACTATTACTCCCTCCCACCTATTACCACCGCCATAGTCAGAAGCTGGCGTGATAATAAATAATTTATCATTCAGCACCACTACACAAGTTGTTCCAGCATCATTGCCCCCATTGCTTATTAATACAAATAACAAAATAAATGTACAATATTTCCATGTGTTTGTTATGCAACGATGGACTGCTTTATACATACAAAGCTCCTGTGCATATTACAGTGTATTATGGCACTAATCTTGCTTACTTAGGGATTAATAATAATCCCTTCAAAAACCAAAAACAATAATTAAATTGGTCATTTTCAATCTACGACTGTTTGTGGGACATTTCTGTGCGCAATTGGCTGCCGCATTCGTCCACAAATATACAGTCAATTCACTTTACAGTGTGGTCTGTGAAGCGCTTTGGGACATCCTCCCGACGTGAAAAGCGCTATATCAAATGCAAGGATTATTATTATTATTATTATTATTACTCCTCTATCTCAGCATTTAAGTGTCTTAAATTAGAACTCATAGCAGTGATCTTTAATAAAATGCAGTACCCACCTGCCCATACTGGAATATTTCTCGAACTGAATCCAGTTCCCAAAGAATCTGCTTGAACCACAATTCATAAGCTGCCATTTATGTAAAAAAAAGTAATTTCTTCAATTAATCTGCATGAATAATTTGTTCAATCAGTAACACACGTTTCTCCCAACCATGATACTGCTAAATGTCGAATTATTTTCTGTTATTTATCCAGCAATCTCACCTTGGTGGGTAATGATGAAAAGATGTTCATCGTGTACCATATTTCCTTTCTTCACACTTTCTAGTTCCTGTGCATTGATTATTTTATCCAGCTTTAAAAGAGAAAGCATGTAAGTTACATTGGAGCTTGGAGCCATAACTTGTCTATTTTCCCATTGCAAATATTCACATCATCCTATTGCCTATTCTTCATTAGAGTGGTCAGTGGTACATTGCACTATACTGTTATAAGTCTGTTAGCCTGGCTCAATGGTGGCGCTCTCACCTCTGAGTCAGAGGGCTATGGGTTCAGGCCTCATGTCGGGACTTGCAATCATGTAGTTTGAGCTGAGACTCTGGTGCATTACTGGGAGGTGTTGCCTTGTTGGGGTGTCATTTTTCGGATGGGACATTAGACCGAGGTCTTGTCTGATTGTTCGGGTGGACATTGAGGATCTTGTGTTACTGTCTGAAAAAAAGAAGGGAGGTTTCCCGGTGTCCTGGCCAACAAATCCCCAAAAGAGTTGGCCGCTAACTGCATGGCTGTTTGTGGGATATTGCCATGCACAGCTGTCTGTTGGTTTTCGACCACTGAATGAACAGTCAATCCACAGTACATCCTGTGAAGTGCTTTGAGATGTTTCGACAATGTGGTAAATCTATATCAAATCCAACGATTATTATTATTATTATTATTATTATTATTATTATATCAAGTACAAATATTATCTTATTCTTAGATTCAACAGCCTCCTGTAGCAAATTATTTCCATGTGCCTTTAGGATGTTAACATTTGAAGATAATTCTTTGGAGTTAAAAAAGAACAGGTAGCCATCAGATCAAAGCCCAGAACTTACCTGCAGATATTCCCCATATAATATTCCTCTCTTACTGGCTTTGTTTGTTCCAGCTTGTGATGCATCACCTTTATCACCTGATGGAGATTTGTGTCTGAAAGAAAAGTCCATTGATTTAGAACAGATGTAACAGATGTACAGCAAGAAAGCATAATTCTTTCCATCGTGGCTGTGGTTTCAGCAAAATAGTTATATCCAAGAATTTCTCCCCTCAGATGCTGTTCCCAATTGTGGGGATCAGCATTTGAGTGAGGCTAAAAATAGGAGAGTGACTTAACTCATTTGAGTGATAGGGGTATCAAAGTGAACAGCCAACCACTTTTCCAATAAATGTAGAAATGTATTGAAGACTACAAATGATATCACAGTATAACTGATCAATCCATTGGTGGGTAAGTATGAAGGTAACACTGAACAACTATATAGAGTACACATAGCCAAAAGCAAACAAAATGGTAGTTCCCAGGTAGGGTGTATGACTCTGTGTTCCAGGCTTCTTAAGATATTTTGTGTAGGTGTGTTAGAATATACACTTTTTGTATACTGCTAGAATCATAATAGATGTTGTGAATGGGTTAACTTTTAAGTTAAGTGTGGGGGACAACTGGACTGACAGTCATGGGATAGAACACATCTGGTTTTCTCTGTTTTTGAAAGAATAACGGACAGTAGCAGGGGGTCACCTCTTATCAGTAAATGACAACAAGCCCACAGAGGTAATGGTCCAAGGTACCAGTTGACACAGGATCTCGACTGAGCAATAAGTCGCTAGATTCTGACAGGGCCAACCGACAGAAGGCAACCCTCAAGAATAGCAACTAATGAGCAAGTTGCTTAAACTAGAGGACCTTGGTACCATCCCGGGATACTGATAAGAAATAACCAGTCACTTAAAAGGAATGTACTAATGATTCCGCACCACAAAACAATGAGCACCAGATACAGCCTTAAACTAATCAATCCTCTATCTTAGACAATTAGATCAGATAACAGGGATCTTAAGGACAATGTGTATGTGTGCTGAGGCACGTATACCTAGCATGATTTCGACCAGGTGATCTAATGTCCGCACCATGATTGGATGAACGTTGGTATAAGAGTTCCAATAACTTTGTGTATGGGGCTGTCCCTGGTCGCGGAGACAAGGATACGGGAGATGGGGCCATCCTGGGCTGCGGAGACAAGGGTACGGAGATGGAAGACTGAGAGCTGGAAACACTAAGACCAAGGATATCAGATGGAAGATTGAAAGCTGTAAGCAAGAAGACTGAAAGCATGAAGAATCAAGCTTGTGTGCTGTAAAGACACAGTGTTGAGCTTGAGATATCTACGGTGGTATTATTCAGTTATAAGATCTGTTGATTGTACCGGCCTTTGGTCTGACCCATCGGGATATTGGGGAATAATGAACGAATAATAATAAAACAGTCTGATATCTGGTTAAAAGAATTAGCGTTATTTCCTTACAGATTTGGCTGATTTTATTTTCTAACAGGTGTTTCCTAGACGCCTGGACTTTATTGACCTGCCAACTGTGCGTCAATCTACATTCCATATTGGATCCTTTGGTTGCAAACAAAGCTGCAATGGGTACAGCTAGTGTCTGATATAACGCCTTAACACATCATTGAAATGTCTCAAAGCGTTTCACAAGAATTGTGCTCTGGTGGGTATTTGTAGACAAACACTGTGGCATATTAATAAGATTATTAATTGATTAATCAGCGCTTTGGGACGTCCTCCCGATGTGAAAGGTGCTAAACAAATGTCATTTTGCATTGTATTGGAATATAGAGAATCTTTGCACATCACACTGATATTTCCTACCACGCTGATTTTCAGGATATTTACAGTATTTACTCACTAGCATGCAGAACCAAGAAATAACTAATGCTGTAAATGTGTGTGCAAATACTTTAGGTTTCTGAAATTAAAAATCTCAAGAAGTCAAGTTTGAAAATAAATGACTTACAAGAATTTTCTTCCTGAGAACGGACAGCCACTCATGGTTTTCTCAGTATCTTCAGTCCCACGTTGAATTTCTGGTGCTTGTCTTATTTCTCCACAGTTTCTTTGCCACTGGTTGAAAACTATCTCTTTTAAAAAGCTTTTCTTTCATCTGTGCCGACCAATCAGCTGTGCTCTGGATACACATGAGGTACATGCGTCAAGATAAATCTGCAATTCAAATAAGAAAAGAGTAAAATTTATAAACCAGTTGCACAACACCAGAAAAGTTCCCCGAATTGTCTATTTATGATTCACAGGTGCTTTACAACTCACTGAAGAAGAGCCAGTCAGTCTAAAAAAAACACATTTTTGTACTTTTATAATTTAAATTGATTATATCATTGGAAGAAAAAATTGTTTTTTACCATCATGAATCCTTATAAGAATTTAATGATTAGAAACACTGCTGCAACATTTTGGAGTTTCAAACACATTGAGATGCAATGAGATCTGGACAAATAACATATTGGTAGGCAAATAATATTGCCAATGCTAAAAACGGAACAGTGCAAGACACCGATGTTTGGCGGAAGGTAATCTTGTCAGAATGGAGAATAGCCTTGTGACGCCTTAGTGTCATTAGTAACTATACTCTTGGAAGGTGGACGGGGGGTGGTAAGTGGGTTCTCCTTGAAGCTGAACTGGCTCCAGGGTGACATGAACTTGCCATCTGTAGCAGTCTAGGTGATCCAGTTCCTGAGCCAGGCACTGTTAATGACTGCACAGGCAGACTGGCACATTGGCAGGACTTGGAGGGCAGACCAGTCACTGGGGCATAGACCCAATTTGGGTCTATATTCTCTAGAATATAGAAGAATTATAAAAACCTATAAGATCATCAAAGGGCATGATTGAGTAGATAGTGGGAGATTGTTTCCCCTGGCTGGAGAAACTAAAACCAGGGGTCACAACCTTAAAATCAGAGGCCAACCCTTTCGCACTGAGTTGAGGAAGAACTTCTTCACTCAAAGGATGGTGAATGTATGGAACTCACTACCCCAAAGGGCTGTTGACGCTCAGTCCTTGAACATATTCAAGACTGAGATAGATAGATTTCTTATTCCAAAAGGGATTAAGGGATATGGGGATAAGGCAGGGTTATGGTATTAGCTAAAGTTAGACTAGAAGATCAGCCATGATTGAATAGCGGGGCAGGCTCGAAGGGCCGAAGGCCTACTCCTGCTCCTACATGTTATGTTATGTTATGTTCTTATGTCCAATGTATTGGTACAAATTCAATTACTTCTTCATTCCATACATACTTGACATTTCAAAGCTTCCCGACTTTGCAAAGAGCTCTGCCTTCTTTGCAGAGATACTGTTGCTGTTATGTATCAGTAAATAAGCAGGGTTTTATGATGAATAGATACTTCATTTTGGAAAGTTACCAACTTTGTTTTACTAAGATATTGAAAGACTTGAGATGTCTTTAAACTGTGTGAATGGTTCTGCTAGTATCACAGAAGAAACTTCTCTGTCATATGTTATGCTGTAGTTAGCATTCTTTCCAACTGTTTTCACTCAAGATTTCAGTGTTGGGACTTTTAACACCTTCAGTGCTCCCAGGTCAGCAACAGCACAGGCTAGAGACGCAGTAAAGCTCCCTTTACACTGTCCTCCCGCACTCCCAAGTCAGGGTTAGAGGTACAGTAAAGCTCCCTCTACATTGTCCATCCACACTACCAGGTCAGGGTTAGAGACACATTAAAGCTTCTTCTATATTGTCCACCCACATTCCCAGGTCAGGGTTAGAGACAGAGTAAGGCTCCCAGGTGACGAGCGATATTTTTTTATTTAATGAAGGGGTCAGCACTGAGGGGAAACACAGTGAGAACTGCACGGAACTTCAAAGATCAGTAAGAATATTTTATTTTGTAAAGCAAACAGATTACAGACACATTGAGACAATGGGTAAGCTATGCGGTTTTGCTGGTTAGACTCCAGAAGTTACCCCAACTCACATTCTGGGCTCTCGCCAAACTGGGCCTATTACTCTCTGGAATTAGATAAGTTGATGCGTACCTCCAGGGGAGGGAGACAGAGAGAGCGCACAGCAGTGTCCCACAACCAGGAAGGGAGGGAGGGAGGGAGGGAGTGAGTGAGTGAGTGAGTGAGTGAGTGAGTGAGTGAGTGAGTGAGTGAGTGAGTGAGTGAGTGAGTGAGTGAGTGAGTGAGTGAGTGAGTGAGTGAGTGAGTGAGTGAGTGAGTGAGTGAGTGAGTGAGTGGAGGAGTGTGGGAGAGAGACTCCTTTCTCTTTTCCCAATTTCTGCCTTGCCTCAACAGGCCACTTGGGCTTGCTGTCAGGGATTGTGGACCAGTGTGGGTCAGTGGCATCAGGTCAACAGGCCAGAGGATTGTAGTGGGAAAGAAAGTGGAACCAGTGTGAGAGATTGGATCTGAACCATTCAAGGTTAAGTTCAAGGTTGAACCTTGAAGGTTAAAGTGTGAGGAGAGGCGGTGGAGGAGAATAGAGTGGTCCACAGTGTCAAAGGTAGGAGAGAGGTCGAGGAGGATGAGAAGGCAGAGGGAGCCCTAGTCACAGATGAACAGATTGTCATTTGTCACCTTGGCATTTACTATGTCCAATGTATTGGCAGAAACTCAATAATTTTAACCTGGGTTCAATTCCAGGCAGCGCGAAACCTTGAGCAAGTTTCCTTATTCCATACATTTAATAATAATCCCTCCAAAACAAAAACAATAATGAAGTGGTCATTTTCAGTCCACGACTGTTTGTGGGACACTGCTGTGCTGCGTTTTGCCGACAAATATACAGTCAATTCACTTTACAGCATATTTTGTGAAGCGCTTTGAGACGTTCTAGAAGACGTGAAAAGCACTATATCAAATGCAAGGATTATTATATTCTCTGATTTGATTCCCCAGCTCGTATTGCATCATGTCTGTGCTGGTGCTTGTAATGTAAAGGTCCTTCTAAAGTGTTAGCCCAGCACTCTCAGGTCAGCATTAGAAACATGGTAAAGTTGTTCAGGTGTATATTAAACATTTCATGCACTAAAGAAGAGAATGGAGTTTCTCCTCGTGTCCTGGCCAACAACCCTCCAAGTAAAATTAATCATTCACTTCATGGCTATTAGTAGGACAGAGCTGTGTGCAAATTAGCTGCCACATTTACCTACAAAAACAGTCATTACACTTTACAGAAAACTCTGTGAAGCACTTTCAAATGTCTAATACTTCAGGCACCTTTATGTTCTAGGCACTTTATCAAAGTCCAGGATTAATTATTATCCCATTAGATTCAAATTTACCAACCTGTGGAGAATCACAGGACTGCAATTAATCTACTCTTAGCCTGAAATAAACATTTTGTCTTAAAATATAAGATATACGATGGCACAGAATTGTGGAAAATTTGTAAAATGGTTCAATTTGGTTCTTTTCAAGAAGCTGCTCACCTGTCAAGATCAGTAAATCTATTGTCAATTGGAGGATCATCCAAATCAAGTTTCATAACTTTATTATTTATCTATCTCATATTTCTTGTTGTGGACATTCATTTAATCATATGTATTTTCAACTTTGATACTGCACACATTCACAGTCTAGGTTGACACCAATGCGGTTTGCTGCACTGTTAGAGGTGAGACTTTAAAACCAAGGTCCTGTCTGCCTGTTGAGGTGGAAATTAAAGATCCCATTCAAAAGGAGAATGGAGTTACTTCTCATGTCCTGACTAATAATCCTCCAGATAAAATTGGCGTGTGGAGTAAGAAAACTTGCCCAAGGTTTCGCCCTGCCTGGAATTGAACCCTGGTGTCTCGCTTGCAAGGTGAGTGCTCTAACCACTGATTTACAGGACTGAGCTACTTCCTAGATGAAGTACTTTAGTTTATCTGTATTGAACTTTATTTTCCAGTTATCAGACTGTGCATACTTCATAAAACTTTCTTTCTATGTGCTTAGCTGTCTTTTCTGATTCCACACCGCTCCCCAACTTTGTGTCAGGTATGAAAATCACAAAAAACATCCACTTGAACAAAAAGTGCACAGTGTCCAGCTCCAACCCTTTAAACCATTCTAATTCTTAAAAGAATAAACATTGTGGCCAGTAAATTAAACCTACATTGCTCTTAATAATCATCCTTAATAACCCTTAATAATCCTTGCATTTGGTACAGTAACTTTCACATTAAAGCACTTTGCATGGTATGCTATAAAACTTACAGCACTATTTTAGGTGAACGCAACAGCCCATTTGCACATACCAATATCACAAAGTGAATTGCAAAGTGAATGATCAGTTTTATTCGGGCAATTATTGGTCAGGACAACAGGAGAAACTCCCTTCTTTTTTTGAATTGCGCTTGGGAACTTTAACATCTACCCGAACAGGCAAGTGAGACGTTGATTTATTGTCTCATCTGAAGGACGGCACCTCTAAAAATGCAGCACACACGGCCAGCAATGCATTGGAGTGGCAGCCTAGACTATCTGAGTTCAAATTCCTAATGTGGGGCTTGAACCCATAAACTTCTGTTGTTGTTGTCAATGTTTTTAGTGTCTTTTGCAATCTTAACACTTGCCTTGCAAGCAAGTGGACCTGGGTTTGATTCCCGGGCAGGGCAAAACGTTGGGCAAGTTTCCTTATTCCATATGCCTGTGTTTACCTAGCAGTAAGTAGGAACTCGATTGTTAGGCGATTGGTGGATTGCTTTTGCAGGAGTAATAATCCCTTTAAAAAAAAATAATAATAGTAACTTGGTCACTCAATCCACAACTGTTTGTGGGACACTGCCGTGTGCAATTGGCTGCCGCGATCCGCCCACACAATATACAGCTAATTCACTTCACAGTATAGACTGTGAAGCACTTTGAAATGTCTCAAAAATGTGATAAGGCAAGGATTATTCTTATTTTTATTTCAACTGTTTCAAACGTAATTGCAATCCCCACAAATGTGTCTCCATATGTTTCCTGATGAATTTTAACAACATGTAACTGTTTCAAGTTTCATAAGATCCCTAAATTGGAAAGTCTCATTTAGAGATTATCTTTCAGATGATCTTCTGACACCTTATCAATCTTTCACTCCCTGAATCCTTGGGAAACCAAAGATCAAGTTTTCTTTTTCTGTG